GCTACAACAATAGAGTCGCTAGAGGTGATTGAAGGCAGGAATGAAGACGTGGCAGTGCTGATGTTGGACATAGAGAAAGCCTACGACAGAGTCAATTGGGGCTTTGTCTTGACAACACTAAAGGCGATGAAGTTCGGGGATACTTTCTGCAGCTGGGTAAGAGTTTTGTACTTCTTCTCATCAGCAGTGGTGCAGGTCAATGGCCACCACTCAGAAGAGTTTAAGCTATTGCGTTCTCTTAGGCTGGGGTGTCTCCTGACCGCACTTTTATTCGTACTACAATTTGAAGTCCTTCTGCATGATATCAAAGCCCACCCAATGCTGGAAGGGCTGCGTCTCAAAACCAGTAAGGAGTGTAGAGTAAAGGCTCTAGCAGATGACCTGCTGACTCTGTCGGCGAACACAAAAGACTCTCTAGAAGCCTTAAAACACTGCCTCGCCCGATATGCAGACCTCTCAGAAGCAGCAGTAAACTAGAACAAGTCCATTTACTATCTTCCGAAGGATTACCACTTGAACGTGGAATGGCGTATGCGAAGAGTTAAAGAAGGCGAAGCGGAGCGGTATCTGAGGGTTCAACTGGCGCTGGAAGAATGCACTGAGTCACAGCCTCTGATCTTAAAAGAGAAAGTCACAGGGAGAATCAAGAGTTGGGGAACAGCGCTGCATTTATCCTTAATTGGGAGAGTGTTGGCGATCTCTGTTGCAGCATTCTCGGTACTTTGGTATGTGGCTAAAGTGAGAAGACTGGCGAAACCATTGGTGAAAGAAGTGAAGGCAACAGCGAGACGCTTCATTTGGAAGTCGGTCTCAGAAGCAGAGTCAGGATACATCTCGAAAGTAGCCTGGGATACGATATGCCTGCCTAGGACGAAAGGGGGTCTGGGCCTGCTGGACCTAGATGCACAAAACCTGAGTCTTCTATCGAAGTGGGTGGTAAAGTTTGCGGTGACAGATCAGAAGGCAGACTGGTGTATACTAGCTGAGGAGATCTTACCCAAACAGTGGGGACTCTCAAGGTCGGCTGATGTCTGGGTGGCCATAATGATCCAAGCCTTGGTGGCTAAACGCATCAAGTCAAAATTCTGGCAGGATATAATCAAGGCCTGGCCGAAGTGCAAACCAGACCAGACAGCGGAACCGGTCCTCAGGTTGGAAGTTCTCAAGCAGCACCTGTTCGAGAATCCACTCCTTCGAAATAAGGAAGGACGACAGTTTGAGGCTAGCACCAAGGCAGGGGCGTTTGGTCTGAAGTGGATACAACGAGGGGTCTCTCAAGTAAGGGACTTATGGAACGAAACCACAGGCCACTGGATCACAAGCGATAGGTTGAAAGAGAAGTTGGGGAGGCTGCCTGAGCAAGAGCAGCGGTTCACAGACCTAATCCAAGCCATCCCAGAATCCTGGAAGGCATTGCTGGGACCAGACAATGTGCCACCAACAGGGATCAGGTATAAAAGAGAGGAGGGTGGGAAGGAAGAGTTTTTGCGGCTAGAGGAATGGGACGCAGATATTCATGGGAAATGCACTCTGACGGTCTATGAGTGGGAAACAGAAGGATTACCAGACCCCAGGAAATCTGGAAGCTGCACAAGTTACGGACTCAGAGCACTGAAAGAAATAAGAGTAGCATCGGTACCGCAACGACAGCAATCAGTGGAAGACAAATGGCAGTTGGTGGCCAACGGGACAGCATACGCAGAGAGACGATTGGACTCTTCAAGATGGGGATGGAGAGTTGGCGAGGAAGCCATCTGGGATTTGGAAAGTTGTGCAATAGTGGTCGGACAGCAGGCAAATGTAAGAGAGCACACATGTCGGAAATGGGAAACTTCGGTGCCTCACCTCGACCCTCCGAATAACAAGGAAATGCAGAGGCTCTGGGACCAACTGGCACAAATTCCCTCACAGAAGCTAGCGTCTCTTTTATGGTTACAGTCCCACCAGGCAATCCCAACAGCGAGATGGCTGAGGAAAAGAGGAATGACAATTAAAGAGGCCTGCGACAGGTGTAGTTGGGTGTTTGAAACCATGCACCACCTGTGGTGGGCCTGCCCCAAATCCAGGAAATGGTGGGAGTGGTGGACAGCCCATTGGGTCGAATGGTCTGGAAGGAGGTATCTGACAGGAGAAAGATGGGTCATCCTGGGAACAGCACCAGAAGGCACGGCGACAGACAAGGGTTGGGGATACGTAGCACAGGTCTGTAGAGCGGTTCTGCTATGGGTGATCTGGGCTGACCGCAACGACGCCAGGTTTAAAGGAAACTGCATGTCAGAAGCCCAGGCGGAGAGACTCTTCAGGAAGTTGCTAAGAAACGAAGCCTTGGCATACTGGAGAAGGAAGGCAGGCAGGGGGAGAAGGAGGGCAGGCACGTTGTGGTTCAAAGCAACTTGGAGACAGAACGCAGCTGTGTTACAAGTCACCAGTGACAACAAGCTGAAGTTCTCGTCTTGGTGGAACAGATAGGTAGGTGTAGAGTAGGAAGTAGGGAGTAGGGGTTACCAGGTGGAGAGGAACAATAATCAGTAGTATAGTTCTCGGTTTGTGCGGATTTGAGCCGGGTGGATTTTATTACAACCAGGGTTACTCGGTTCTCGGATCGGACCACAGTAGGTCAAGTTGGGGAGGTGGGTGGAGTGCCAGGGGTACGAGGAACGAGGTTCCACCGGTCGTATAGGGGGGTGTCAGGCCATGTCTGTCGGAGGATTGGAGTAGGATAGTCGAGGTTTGATTGGTGTTACCATCTTCCCCCCCTTTCCCCCCCCCTTTCAACCTTGTTGTCTGGCTGAGGATACGAGTAGGATAGTCGATGCTGATTGGTGTTGCCCGACCCGCAATATCAATCAGCAATGGGGTGCTGATTGCCCCGTGGTAGGGAGGTGTGGCTGCTTAGGGAGGTGTGGCCGCTTAGGGAGTGCTTTGAAGGAGGTCAATCCTTCCCTTGCGCAGGGAAGTAATCAATGGCCCTGCTCTCTTCGGACAATGGGTATAGGGACAGTTTTACATGATCTTGCATGATGATAGTTAGGCTTGATTGATAAAAGATCTCACACATCACCCTTTTGTTAGGGTTTCGGGTTATCTGCATAAGGGAAGCTGGACGCGACGTCCAGAACACAGATATTACATCACCGATAGGGATTCGTGCTTAGGTCTTGATTGATAATGACCATACACCTCACATCTATCTTCAAAGTTCCGTGCTTTGATTTTGATAGATATTGAGCACATACATCACACATATATTACCTCCTCGTTAGGGTTTTGCTTCTGACATATGTTGCTTAACGTGCATACGTAGGTAGCTGGAGCTGTCAACACAACTCTGCATAGGGACACTGGACCCGATTTCCAGCAGATACATTCACATCATGTACACGGACGCTGGACCCGATTTCCAGCAGACACATTCTCATCATTGTATAGGGACGCTGCACCCGATATAAAACAGGTGTTACTCTTCACTAAAAGATGGAGCCTTCGACGCCGGGTCCTACTTACCGAGAATACTCTTATCACTTTGGTAAGTAGGTTTCTCGTATACGAAGTTTAAAAAAAAAAAAAAAAAAAAAAAAACAAGGGCCCTGATAGGCCTGTATAATCAGAATAGATACAGGGGAGACTAGACTAGAGGGAAGGTAGGAATTCAGTAGGCATATTGAGATTCTAGACTGGGAACCACAATAGTTAGATGGTGATGCAGTAACCTACGACATGGCTAATAGCCAGGATACGAGAAGGAGCAATGTCAGATAAGCGAGGCAGATTGCTCAGGTGACTTCTTGAAGCTAAACTGGCTGATGCTGCCAGGCTAAGGGCCTTGTTAGACCCTCCTTGGAAATCCGATTTTTAGAAAATCGGCGTCGTTACACCGCGTCCTAATTCACCAAATTCCTTGGACAAATGTGAAAACGCTTCCGAGATATTTCCTTGGGTTCCTCAGAAACGCCAGCCAAAACGTCCTTGGATTCAAGGGGTCCTCGCAAGTTCCCTTGGGCTCAAGGAGCCGCGATTGACGGATCGTGGTGGACCATGCGTCGACAACAAAATTTGAAGTTTCTCGTGGTGCACAGGTTGTCCGTGGTCCAGACGGGCGGACACCGCCAGCCTCCAGTACGGGACGATCCCCCAACGGCGTTGTGTCGTTACTGTTGGCGCGTAAAGGCATGGGGGTGGTTATTCAGCTTCGAGGCGTTTCATGTGGCGGGCTTGCTCGTCGAGCATGGGGTCCAACGGTCGACTTTTTTGAATTTTTTCATCACCTCAGTGTGAGCAGTGCGGGCCGACTGCAGTTCTCCTTCTCAGCGTGCATTGTCGGCTATTGAGCGCACGGGAGCAAGCTCTGGTCGATGCACCCCTGGCCTGTTGCGATTCATGGTAGACGCGCTCCGCTGGGTCCCTCTCCTGCTGCTCGCCACTCTTCTCCTGCTCCTTGTGGTCTTGTTGCGCGTGTGTGTCGTCGTGCGGGGTCCGCAGAGCAGACGAAAACGACACACGGTGAGGAAGGCGACGATGGAAACGCAGGAAGCGGGAAACCTCCAGCGGACTGCACGTGCGTGCGATTGACTTCTCCACTCCAAACCTGGCAGTAGCAGCGCGTCGCACACACGCGTATGACCCCACGTCGTACAGTCATCTGCCACCACACGAGCAGCCGTTACCGTCGGATCCGGAAGAGGAATGGCTGGAGGATCTGTCCCATACTTTGCCTCTGGGGAGCGGATCTACACAGGATTGGATGGGGAGCCATTGCTGACAAAGGGAGGCAGAGAGAAGTCGCCAGTTGTTCTCGGCAATGATGGAGGAGGGTGTCGACGGAGGCGACACGGAGATTGTGGACTTGGATTTCGGCTTGTCAAGCGAGGCTGCTGCACCGGTTACGAACAGTTCTGCATCGAACCACGTCGCCGCCACGACCGTTGGACAGACGTCTGTGCACGGGGCGGGACTGGTCGGGCGTGGCGGAAGGTCGTGTCCGGTGGATGGCAGCGCAGATGGGTGTCGTCATGCGCCCTCCTTCTCTTGAGGCGCGGGAACATCTGGCGACAAGGCGACGACAGTGTTACCCCCCCACTTGACAACGCCTTCACCCCCACCATGTCGGAGGGTGGCTGCACCGGCGGCGAACACGACCACTACCCCGCTGGAAGAAATTGGCGGGCACGTATGGGAGTCCAATCGCCAACAGATGCGGGGACCGACCACTGAGAACATAACGAACGGGGTGTCCATGATGCGTGTTGGAAGCGATGCAAGTGCGGACGACAACCGGAGGGCGACTAGTGACGAATCTTCGGATTTTCATTGCGAGGACGAAGCGGACAATGCGGAAGAGTTGGAGATTCGACCCTTGGGTGTGCGTGGTAGAGGGAGGGGTGGATGCGGGGGTCAACAGAATCGGGGATCCCGTGGTGGTCGAATATCGAAGGCTCCTGCACGCGACAAGGGTGGCAAACATTCGACTTGGAGTGTTGAGGAGATGATGAAGCTCGCTCGGGCGAAGCGAGATCAGCAAGCTCATTTCGCTGGGATGTCGCACAACTACGGGCGCATGCGCAACAGGGAATGGAAGTTGCAAGACCTGCAGAAGCGTTTGGTGGAGGTGGGCGTGAAGAGGACTACCGACGACATCGGGAAGAAGTGGGATAACCTCTTCCAGCAGTATAAGAAGGTGCAACGATACCGGAACGCCTCCGAAGGGAAGAACTTCTTCAACTTGACGCCCATGTTGAGAATGGATGAGCGAGTGTACCTGTAACGAGCGTGAGGCTGAGGGTGAGTCGAGGGAGAGGAGAGAGAGGGAGAGAGTGAGAGCACACACACACTCACTCACTCGACACGACGGACTCGGACTGAGGATCGGACGCAGACACAGTGGCAAGGCACAAAGTCGAAGTCTTGGATTCCCGAATGCCGAAAACAGCAAGTCACACTGAGTACGAGTACAGCAGCAGAGAACTGGTACGAGACTGGTSCCCGTACYGTACGGGGAGCCGGTATAAGTACCGGTGACAYGTACGGTAYYAGGGGCATTTCTGCAAAGGCCCCGAGGGCAGAACTGRAAAATGCAGTATTTGAAAGTGGCGCCCGAATTGCAGCATGGCGCCAATTGTCCAAAATCCTACGGCACCAAAGGAGGGGTTTGGAAAAAGGGTGCCAGGCCGAAAACGGGATGCAGCCGAAACAGCAAAAGATAGACCAGGGATCGAGCCCTGGCGAAGTCCGTAACACTATCCCCTCCCTCT